TATGAGTTGTTAATAAAAAATTAATAAATATATGTACCCACGGTACACACCCCCCACCTAGAGTATTGGTGCGGTGTTGTGTCCACCTTTGCCTTCTATAATATCTTTCCCATGGTAAACCGCTCGCTTTTTATTGACATCATCTTCTAGCTCGTACATGCAGTTGCCTTTTACTGCGATCACCTTGGCCTTTAGAAATTTGGGTGCTAGTTTGGCGCAAAACCTTTTAGTCGCGTCGCTTAATACAAAATTTCGGCGGTAAACGGTGTCTCCTACATTAAAGGTCTTTACGGTACTGCGCAAATTGTAACGTTTTGACGAGTTTTCGAATGCTTTCTTGATGTTTTCTTGGAGTGATTTTCGTATGAGCTTAAGGCTGTCTGTCCGGTCAGTGATATTTTCATCTAGCGACTCTAATCTTCGTAATATCTCATATTCATCACCGTGTGCTAACATTTGCTGACCAAACAAAGCATAGTAGGGGGTGCATCCAACTGTCTGGTGGAATGAACTTCTGAGTGCTTCTGCAATATCAGGTAGGTGTTTATCCCAGAGCGTCTGATCTTCTCTAAGGTACGACCTTATTCCTGCAACAATGGAACGGTTGACACGCTCACTAGCGTTTGCCTGCGGGCTATATAGGGCGGTACATACATGTCTAATACCACGTTCTGCCAGCAGGTTGTTGAACAGCGAGGACTTAAATTGTTTGCCGTTGTCACTTAGTATAATTTCTGGAGTTCCGAATACACAAAATACGTGCTCTTTAAGGAAACTACAAATTTGTGGAGTATTGAAGTTTCTGATAGCCTTCATTAGCGGAAATTTTGTGAGGTGATCAAGGGCAATGAAAATACCAATATTTCCTTCCTTGGATCTGGGATATGGACCAAGTAAATCTACATACAATTTCTGGAAAGGACGTTGGACAGTATATTGGACGGACATGGGTGGACGAAGGACAACGTTAGGCGCTTTGCTTTGTCTACAAATATCGCACCGGCCAACATATTCTTTTACGTCGACGCTCATATTTGGCCAATAAAAGTTTAATCGCAAACGCTCTAATGTTTTCGCGATACCTCCGTGACATTTGTTAGGCGGACAGTGAGCGTTTTCAATTATCTGTTGGACGAG